CTGGGATGCTGCATAAACGTGCTCTGCAAGGCACGTCTTCTCCTGAAAACTTCCCATCTGAGCAGCCAAGATAAATTAAAAGGAAAGAGGGTGCCATACGGCTTTCTTGCTCCTTGTACAGAAGCTTTGCCCCCCATTCGGGTGCCGCTCAAAGCAGTTTTTCTGTGTGCGTGGCACAGGTTTCTCTCCTTGCTGACGTAGGGGCTGTACAGGCGTGCGCAAGATCATGGCACCGAGAGCTTTTGCAAAGTCGCAGATGTTTCCAGGTGTGTAGCTGATGGATCTGCAGGCAGATAGCTCATCACCAGCATCTTACCAGCATTTATCTGCTGGCCTGTGAGTGTGGTGCTAAGAGAAAGGGCATGTCCCAGCTCTAGGAAACAGGCTTTTTCCTGGCAGCATCGTCAGCTGGGAAAGCTGCACTCTCTGTGTGGTCTATCCCATCTCCCCAACCCTACGATGCTTTGCAGTTTTCCTCCCAGAGGTTGGAAACCAGAGTAACAAATGCACATTCCCACGCACGTGCACTGCGAATGCCTGATGCTAGAAGGAGCCAGGGTACCACTGGTGATGCCTTTGCTGGAGATTCATCCCTATGTGTTATTTCAGGAATGATTACTGCTGCAATTTGGTTCTGGTGGTAAGACAATATGCATAGTGAAAATGGCAGCTCTCGATGTATGTGTCTTGTGCTTGATTATTGTCCCTTCTACGGAAAGGGCACATAGTGTTTGTCAAAACCCAGCGCCACGGGTTTGAATTTCTGCAGATTGAGGTAAATCTGCCTTGCCACTCATGTGCCCTCTGACCGCAAAAAAATATCCAGCCGTGTATTGACCTTACGGCTGTAGTGAAGTTGTTGTTCAGTAAGTGATGTGATGCAGGTGGGGCAGAAAGACCTTTTGGCCACTGCTTTTGATTTTGAGGGAAGTGGTTAATCAATGGAAGCAGCAAGGGGGGGCAGCAGCGGCATCCGCCCACCCGATGGGGTTTGTGTCATCTCTTGCATCATGCCCAGGGATGCTGGTGGTACGGAGCAGAGAGGATCGTGCTGGATGGAGAGCAGGAGTGTTACCTTGCATCAGAGGGAGGGTCGGCATCATGGTGTAATGCTGGCAGGGTGTCAGGAAGCCTACAGCTGCCCACGGGGATAGTGCTCAGCATCATTGCTCCTGCTGGTGTAATGCACTAACCCCCGGCTCTGCTGGCAGCCCCACATGTGGTGCTCTCCCCCTAAGCTGGGCAGCGAGGTTAAAACTTAGTCAACATGAGTGAGCTGGGCTAATTTTTAAGCTGACTCAGTTTTCAAACAAGCTCTTGGGCTCAGTCCCACCAGGGTGTGCGTCAGCTTCAATTATTTCCTGATAGACTTGGATGATAAACAGCGAAAAAGCCTTTGTTTAGACATCAGACGAGTGTCCAGCTCTGCCTTTGGCACCACGTCAGCTAAATCCCTTCTTCTGCGCACGTGTTTTGTGCAACCCAGGGCAGCTCTTGTATGCCGGGGGTCAGGCCTGGGGCTGCTCCGGAGCCTCCCGCAAAGCTCTTGGGAGGAATTGCAAGAGGTTTAGGAAGGTACCTAAAAAAAGTGGGTTCTTGAAGCAGAGAGGTTTGCGTCTCACCCATGGGCAGGTGAAGTGCAGTGATGAGAATAAGATGTGCAGAAGCAAGGAGCCCAACCCCAAAATAGCGTGTCATGAAGGCTCTGAAATGGGCTGTTTATTTATCCCAGTGCTAAACTGGGGCATTTATCTACTGGCTGCTGCAGACCAGTGTGGAAAATACTATACTTTTGCAGCTGGCTTATATCCTCGCATGGTACCAAGACCAGAAGGAGATGCATGAGTTGCTGTGTGCAGAAGTCTTGTTCTCTAAATTGTGTTTTAAAACCCCAAAATAGAAGTCACTCAGTACCTGCAGGGCTTGTGAGTCGAGCTTGCTCGTGATGAAAAAAGGGCTGAAAGAGTGGCCTAGTGGGGACAACCATGGGAAGGATGAGCTGGTGGTGGCTGCTGATGTAGAGAGATTAAAATACGCTTTGCTCTGCTCTAGCATCTTTCCTTGGAGTCCCGAATGTGCTCTGTCAGTGTGATGGATGATTTTCTGCGTTCTGTTCGGGGGATTTCTTTGGTCTGAATTTCTCAGAAATTGGCTTGATGTGAAGTTCAGGTCTGAGTTTCCACCAGCCATCTGGACACACCGCTCAGGAGGTCTGGCAGCTGCACACCAAGGGCCGGCGTGAGCACGCTGCTTGGGGAAAAAATCTCTTATCGGAGAGAGAAGATGGTCCTGCCACATTTGTACCGGCAAAAACTTGTTTCTTTTACTTTCTCTGCTTTTTTGCCACATTACTCTTGTGAATCGTTTCACTTCCCTGACAGTTTAGTTGTCAGGATAATACTGGAGACAATTTTAATTGTCTCTTTCAGGATGATATTGGAGGCAATTTGCAGCACTGAATTGCAACACGGTGGCTACTTACTCCACAGCATTTTAGCACGTTGTTTCCTTTTCAACAAGAGTTTTTCCACACAATGCAGTGAGGGCTCGGAGATGGAAACCACCGCGCAGTGCTGAGGGTGGACACTGTTATTTCAGGGGCTGTTGCAATGCTTTGCAAGGGTAACAGCTGAAAAAAATAGATTAAATGAAAGCCGATGGCACCAGGCAGCTTGCTGTGGATATTACGCAAAGGTAAAAAAAAATAGGGTAGGTGTCAAAATTCATGGTGTTTTATTCTTGCATTAGGGATGTTGGTTACACAGCGAGAAAGGTGTTGCTGGTAGAGAGCAAACGGAGAGCAGTTAGCAGGAGCAGCATATGCTGTTGTCTTCCCAAAATGTTTTGAGGCTTTAATTAAAGAATGGCTGCAATGTGTTTCCTGACCTTCCAGTGGAAAACATGAAATAAAACCTTCTCTTTCATTATTTTTTCTGTGTTAATTTGACAGGCTGAGCCTCCTAGGGTTCATCCATCCCCAGGCCTAGAGCACTAGATATTTCTTGCCGCAGGGTCGCCAGCGGGAGGGGAGATTTTGGCATGCCTGCGGTTTAGCATAGGCTGAAGTACCATTGAAATTTGCGGGATTAAAGCCCTTATTTCAAGTTAAGCGTGGTGATAAATGAGGTGTTGAAAAGTATGGGTTTAAATATGCTCTTAAACCCATATTTTCTCCTCTGCAAACTGGGAAACGGGAGGTACGGCCGTCAAACGCTTGCGGAGCTCAGATGTGAAATGGCTCCTGACTCGCGCCATTTCCAGCTCATGCTGACACGGCGTTTTCCGTACACCGTGCCCTGCTGGTATCTGTGGATCCTGAGTTTCTACCTGAGCTGCCGAAGTCATCTGCCACCACGTGCCTGATGGAGGGGGTGAGCGCTGGTGCCATCTCTTTGCTGCCAGTTTGCGCAGCTGGAGCTAGGCAAGCATCGCCCTGAATTAAATCAGCTTTCGACTGTTAGTCGCCGCATAGGCACTTGGACATGTCTGGGAACAAACTACCCCAATTTCTGTCAAGTCTTCATATCTTAGTGGATTGAACAGAAAAGCTAAAGGCCTCAAGTCCTACACTGATATTTCTGCTCCAGCCATCTGCAGATATGCCCTTTCTGTCCTGGTTTTGTTTTTTTTTTACCCTGAGAAAGCCTGCTGTAATTGTTTCCCTGCACACCCAGAGGTGATTTGTCAAAATCCCTATTGCTCCTTGGCTAATTCAATATTTATAATGTCTTTATAAGGCTGGTCCCACTCTGCTGACTTGGAGACAGGGTGGGAGAATACATTGCATAAATTAGGCTGCACAAAACATGCAGCTCGCAGCTCTGCCGGGGCAGTCAGGCTTGAAGGGAGGACGTGAAGGCAGCAGTAATTGGGTGTCCAGGCAGAGAAGATGCAGCATCTTCCTCAGCATCCCTGCCCAGCTCATCCCAGCACACAGCAAAATCCTGAGCACCCAGCGTGAATGAAGAGCAGCAGCGAGTCAAGCCCAGGCTGACTGCTTATTTTAGGGCTTCCTATTCGGTTTCTGTGTCTTCTCTAAGATGTTTCATGATGCAGCAATTTCATAAAACCAGGCAGATGCCACAAATTGTCACATCTTGATTTTTTTTATCATTATTGTTCTTTAGGTCAGGTTAATCTCTGCTTGTGACCTTTCAGAGAGCAAGCCAGGCAGGGCAAGATGGGTAGTTTACATTATTGGATGTCATATCATGCATTAGTATAAAAAGATCTTGAAATGAAACATGATTGAACGGTCCAGATACTGGTATTTGTATTTTGTTTCGTTTTTAGGAACCAAAATTTCTAGAACAAAATTCTTAGAAACTTTCAGAGTTAAAGTTTTCCAAGCTACTATCCTTCTGGGTGGAAATTTTAACCAGAATTGAGAAGACTCCACCAAAATCCCTGTTTTCCTTGAAGCTTTTTTTTTCCTAACAAATATATGTTCTGAGAGTTTCAGATGAATGCTGTTCCCGAGATCTCCATCAGCTCACAAAGCCTCTTAGCGTTTGCTCTTTTGTAAAGCAGTTTTAACGGTAATGGATGGGTTGTTTGGTTTATTTAATCAATCTCCGTAAAACTTTAGCGCTGAAAGTTATTATGTAGTGTCAAATGATAACAGTGCTGCTGCTGAATGAATTGCAGAGAGACGACCGTGCCGTGCGGATCCCCTGAACCCCATCACAGCAGCCAAGAAGGGACCTCGTCATCCTTAACCGGGCAGAGCTCGTGCACCCCTGCGTTCGCTCTCCAGCAGCAGTGTCCGCGGGTGTGCAGGACGGGGTGGCCCTTGGTGAAACACCCCGTCCTTGCAGCATCTTAGCAATCAGTGGGCTTTTTTTTTTTTTTCTTCCTTTTCTCCCTTCCCATACAAGCTTTAGTGTGGTCCCTTATGACTTACCAGCTCCTAGCAGGGAGCCGCTCTAGGGTCGGAGCATCCCACGGGCATCACGGTAATGCTGCAGACACCTTACCTGGTCCCTCCCTTGTCTTCACAGGAGGGGGACTCCCTCGGGGCCATGGAGAAGCTTTGCCGGCAGCTCACCTACCACCTCAGCCCCCACTCGCAGTGGAGACGCCAGGGCATCATGAAGAGGAAACCGCAGTCCTGGTGAGTCGGCTTTCGAAAGCCACCGTCACCCCCATGCGTCTCTGTCCCCTCCCTGGTCCTTGAGTCCTTGGGACCACCCGCAGGCTCGGGAGAGTGGGAAGGGGGTTTTTCCACGATGCTTTTGGCCACAGTGTGCAAATGTGGACGCTGGTGGGAGCTGCCTGTTGCACACCTGCAGCAATGGGAGGAACAAATCCACCACGATGAAGGAAAGTGCTTAAAACAGTTCGTCAGGGCTGCGAGGGAGCCGGGAGGTCAAAGCCTTCTGAGCTTGCCACAGCCTCCAAAATCCGCAGTTGTCTCCAATCTCACCGGTGTTTCCCCCGTGCATGGCTGTGTTACCAGGTTGCATCATGCTCACCCAGAGGTCTTTTCCTCCTTTTCCATTTTCCTTTCCCTGTTGCATCCTGGTTGCAGAGGAGTGCAGCACGGTAGTGCCCAGGGAGGGGGAACAGGCTGGAAATCCTGAGCCATCCATCCTTCAAACATCCCCATGCTGGGCATTGGAGAGCAGGAGACAAACTGTTCCAAGACGTCCTAATTAGCTGGTAATTAATGTGCTGACACATGTCACCGTGTATGCCATGGCTTGCAGCGTGTTTACACGAAGGGAACTGTTCAATTAAAAATAGGGAGTAAATGACCTCGTCTCCTCCTCGCCTGGGTCCTCAGCAAAGCGTCCCAGCTGCCAACGTCCTGGATCCACGGAGCTGAAAAACCTGTGGATGAGGCTGATGGGAACAAAAAGGGATCCTTGTTTTCTGTGGTGTTATGCATTACATGTTTAATTTATTATTTTTGTGAAAATACGAAATAAGCTGCAATCTGGCAGAGTCAGGATTTGTATCCAGGTGCTTGCTCATGGTCCCAAGAGAGTTTTGGTTCCTGTCGTAGTAGATGCTATTTGTAGCTATAGCGGAGACTAATCCTGTGAAAAAACTTAGTCAGAACAGAAAAGAAGAGGGGAGGAAAATGGACACAAGAGGAAAACAGACACGAGGGAATAAAGGACTGTGTGGCCAAATAGGATTAGGACCATGTCTCCCAGACATCTGGCTTGGCATCCCTTGCACCCTGTCGTCCTTAGAGACCCAAATGTGGCCATCCACAACCCATCAGTGCTCTGCTCTAGGGTGTAATTAGTAGCTGGCTCTAATGACCAGGGAGCTACAGAGCTTTTTTTTGCATCTGTCTCTTTGCAAGGAAAAGAACTTCAGCTTGGTGCGGTGATAGCAGAGGGACTTTGGTCCCCACTGGTGGATTAGGAGAGGACAGGCCCATTTTATCAGAAATAAAAATGAGGCCTGTGAGAATACTTTCCCAGCTCTTTCTGTAGCTGGCTTTATCACGCCGCATCTTGTCCTGTTCCTTTGCTTTGCTGGTTGCTTTTTGTTCAGAAACTAAACAGAGCCAATAAATCAAGCGATTCCTGGGCTTTCTTCAAAGTTCCCATTCCTCTCGTTCCACTCCCTCCTTGTGTGCTGGTTTTTGGGGGGACTGACTGTGCCCCGTGGAGGTGTTTGGTAAGTAGCTATGGACAACCCTTGTAATTAGGATATGTTTTATTTTGATTTATTAGAGGCTACCCTTGTAAAATCCCCATTTGCACAGGCACAGAAGCAGTGCAACCCAGTGTCTGGGAAGTCTGGGACTTGTGGTGTGGATCCCATCAGTCTGTGGATTAACTGCTCCTCTTACGAGCCCAGGGCTCACTTGATATCTCTCCTTGATGCTCAGAGATACTCCTCGGTGGCCCCCTGCACCACGCAGCCAGCGGCCGGTCTGGGGCAGAGATCAGGTGTTAGGAGCTGTCTTTCTAAAAGGAAAGACAAGGACATCTGTCCTTGTTTTTGGGGGGAAACTGGCTTAAACTCACAACTGTGACAACAAGCCTTTGGTTATAGTACGCACAGAGCACAGGGGGCTCTGGCAATATTTTCAGTTGTGGGTTATTAAGGGCAAAGCATTGGAAAATGCATTGCGATACGCATGCTGTTGTGTTGCAATGGCGATTTAACAGCGTATAAATCATTCACAAAAAGTGCAGCAATCAGCCCACGAGCCTGCCTGTGCTGACGGCGGGATGAACGTCAAGGGCTGCAGCTCCCGCAGGCTGTGGATGCCCGCGCAGCCCCGTGGTCCACCCTGCGGTCCCCGGGTGGCCCTGAAAGCCGGTTCGTGGGTGCCTTGCAAGCCTTCGCCCCTCTGCCAAGGCTCTTCTTTGGGGGGATGAAAATGAAAGCTGAAAGCTTGGGCAGCACAGATGTAGCCTTGCTCACAGCAGGGGGGTTTATTATTCAAAGCCTGTTTTATCCTGCCTGTCGTGGTGATATCAGTCATGTTTGGGGCTCAAGTCCCCTCTTACCTCCTTTTTATAGACTCCAAAATCCCTCAGCCTCCCTGGAATTACTCTTGCTTTGCAACGAGGTTGGTAAGGTCCCAGGAAAGCCCACAGCGCTGCCCGCAGCGCAGCATACGGTGGCTCCTCTCTACGGCAGCAGCCCCCAAAGGGAGGTTATAGGTAGGAAGAGGTGCTTGCTCTGGGGGCTTCAGAGCCCTAAAACTGGGGCATCCTCCTCAGAGCCACATGTGAGCCCGGATGCTTTGAGGGAACAACGAGGCGTGAGAAACCGCCTTCCTTAGAGGTCTGCGGAGGAAAATGTGCTGCCTGCTGGGATGAGATGCACGCGTGAACCCAGCTCGCCGGGATGAGCCCTGCGGCTGCTCCTCCTGCCGCTCCCAGCCCAGGCTGGGGAAAACCAGACAGGGGCTGCTGCAGAAGAGATGAGGGTTTTCCTTTCCCTCCTCTCCTTCTCCCTGCAGTACCGACCTTGTAACGTCCGCAGGCTGCACCATGTGAGTGATGCTTTCATAAGCCATTTCTTCTCCTTTTTCCTCACTCTTCGTGTGGGGTCTGAGACCAGACCCACTCCCAGCTGGTCTGCATCCAGCTCTGGAGTCCTCAGTACAGGAAAGACACGGACCTGTTGGAGCGGGTCCAGAGGAGGGCCACAAGAATGATCGGGGGATGGAACACCTCTCCTGTGAGGACAGGCTGAGGGAGCTGGGGTTCTTCAGCCTGGAGAAGAGAAGGCTCCAGGGAGACCTTATTGCAGCCTTTCAATACATAAAGGGGGCTTATAAGAAAGATGGGAACAAACTTTTTAGTAGGGCCTGTAGCGATAGGACAAGGGGTAATGGTTTTAAAATAAAAAACAGGGTAGATTTAGACTAGATATAAGGAAGAAATTTTTTTACAATTGCTCGACCGAATGCTGAGCAAAGCCAATAGCTGTAATTGGTCTCACCAGAAATGTGGCGAAATAATTACAAGGGAAAATTGCTTTTCTTTATTCTGCAACTGCTGTATTCATTACAGGTGATAATCGGAAGCAGAGCAGCCGGAGGAGGAGGGTGGGAACAGATGAAACAGAGAACTGGATTCTGAAAATTGTAAAAAACTTGCATTTTTTGTATTGCATTTTTTACATGCCCAGAGAGGTGGTGGATGCCCCATCCCTGGAAACATTCAAGGTCAGGTTGGACGGGGCTCTGAGCAACCTGGTCTAGTTGAAGATGTCCCTGCTCATTGCAGGGGGGGTTGGACTAGATGATCTTTGGAGGTCCCTCCCAACCCAAACTATTCTATGATTCTTTCTTTGCTCTTTCTTTTCATTTTCTTTCTTTCTTGTTGGAGAGGAAGTCTTCTGACTCTCCTGCAAGACAACTTTGGGGTCAGAAAGGGACAATTTGGAGTCATCCTCTGTCCTGTGTTGCAACCTGCCTGGAGGATCCAGCCACAAGAAGCACGTAAGCACGTGCTTTGGATGTGGAAACCTGGTCTCTCATCTTCTGCACGGTGATTCTTGACCTTGTAATGAGTGTTTTGGCTCTGTCCCTCATTTCCTGTTGATAATTAGGGATTGCAGCACAACAGCAGGGGCTGGGGGAGCCTGTCGTGCAGAACTCCCGGTCCGGAGCTGCGGAGTTACTAAAAAATACTTTGTTAATTAGAAATCTGTATCTTTGGGATGCATTGTGCTCCTGGGTCCTGTCTGCTGGAGACACGCTCGTTAGCACTGACTCGTAACAAGCAGAAACACAAGCATTGTAATCTGTGCCGTGGCTTCATTAAGAGGCATCATTTCTCCGGGCTCACGGCTGCGCCCATCTTCTGATGCTGGCAGTCCCTTGTCCCCTGCAGCTGGGTTAGACATGTTGGAAGGGTTTGGGAAGGAATTGGAGTTTAATTATCCCTAATTATTGGGAGCACATTTGTGGGAAACAGAGGCTGATATGCAATTGCGTCGGCTGCATTGGTGCAATGCTGATCCCTCTGTTTTATTAAAAGGTTTCCCTAGTTGTGGGATCAAGGGCGTCTCAGGCACTAGTGGGATGTTGCTCTCTTCTTGTTCAGGGCTAGTGAAGGGGTGGTGGCCTCTAGATGTCATTGTGTTGCCACCTCCTCAGGTGCCCACAGTCAAATTTTTAGTGGGATGGCATCCCTTCTTCACTAAATGCCCGCTGGCACTTCCAGCAGGCGTTGGGGGACGTAGCCACAAGCAGTGGAGTGGATCAGTCCCTCCTGGACCGGCCTGTCCTGGGACCCCCTGGTACCTCTGCCGAGGTCTCGCCGGCGCGGTGAGTGAGAGCCCTGCACATGGGCACAGCTCGACCGAACGCTGAGCAAAGCCAATAGCTGTAATTGGTCTCACCAGAAATGTGGCAAAATAATTACAAGGGAAAATTGCTTTTCTTTATTCTGCAACTGCTGTATTCATTACAGGTGATAATCGGAAGCAGAGCAGCCGGAGGAGGAGGATGGGGACAGATGATAGAACTGGAGCTGATTTTTTTGGTCGGTCGTGCTATGGCCAGGCAGCCTGCGGCGTAGGCAGAGGGGGAGGCTAGCGCTTTCTGTTTCCATCTCACCCCAGGCATCGCATTCGGTGTGTGCATGGAAAGAGCCAAATCGAGGGAGAAGCTCTCAGCGTTGGCTG